ATGGCCTCTGGGATTGGGGGAGCAACGGGCAGGCTGGCGCTGCTGGGCTGGTATCCGTTCTCATCGGCCACATACTTGACCTCGATCACCTCACCCTCGGGGGAGATCCAGCTGAAGCTGCCATGGATGTTGCCATGAACATCGCCGCTATCGATGCGCACGATGTGGTTGTCGGTCTCCAAAGAGGCGTCGAAGCCATCGGGGCGCACATCGTCCTTGCGGCTAAGGACTTCAGCCTTCGACTCATCACCGACTGGCAGAGCGACGGCCATGGCGATAACAGCGCAGATCAACACCTGAGTGGAAAAGAATTCAATTTAATCACTGGCTATCCTTGGCATCCTTGAGAGAGTACTCACGAGTTTGAACATTTTGATAATTATTGCAGTTGTTGATTGTCGAGACAAGCTTTGACTGATGCTCCACTCTGGGCGAGAGCCGCCTTTTATACGGCTTCCTCTGACGTAACTGACGCCACAAAAATGCAAATTCGCATCGAAAATGCTTAATTGCGAATAATATTGTCACGACGAATATCGAAACCTCTTTTAGGGGCTTGCTGGCGAATTTGATTGGACAATTAAAAGAGGCAAAGCAGTGTGGCAATGAAAATTAGTTAGGATCGGAGCATTTCAGAGAGATAATAAATATATTTTTATTATTATATTGATAAGAATTAACAACTCTATACGAGCGTTGCTACCAGACGTGGCACAGAAATGCCACCAGTTAAAATAGCTAGGGAGACGGTGTTCTATCTTATTTATTTATTTATTTCCTTTGCTAATTCTAAATGCTAAAGTGCAGCAACGACCGACGAGGAAACGAGTTCAGCTCACCTCAATGCTAGTCATAGACTTTATTATCAATGCTTTAAATCACGCCATGAGAGCTGTACACTATTCATCCAATTCACACATCAAGCGACAAAAACGAGCTCGATGCCATATGATTTTGAGACATGTTAACAGATGATATGAAATATTGTAGATAAATTACTCTGGCTAGTATATAGTAGAGGAAGAAGAAGGTGCTGATACATATTTTGTATTTGCCGCTAGTTCATTAGTTTAGCTCTTGATAAACTGTTTCTAATGAATTCCTTTAAACAGTTAATCTAAATGTGATTGGATCTAAAATATGAAGCGGACAAAATGTTGAGAGTAATATTATTTTTAACAGTTATATTATACATTATAGATTTATTTTCTATAAATTATCTAGTCTTTTAAGACATGGAATACATTGAAAGTTGATTGAATTTAGATTTATTTAAATATATATATTAAGTGTTCAACTTATTTGATATATAGTAGCATAAAAAATAAAGTATTTTTCTGTATACAAAAAGACTTATTAAAATAGATTCGTAATGTTAGGGCTCTTCTGTTAAATGATTTTATATAAAAGAGCTTATTCTATGACATTTCTAAATCTCCTGAAGCAAACACTTTGTATAAAGCGTGGCATATATATTCCTATAGCAATATATTCCTAGCTAAAAATATCATATGTTGCAGGGAAATACCCCAGAGATTATATCTATAATTTATTGAATTTATCCCTGTACTGCTGCTGATATATACATGCATGGTTTGATTGCATTTGAATGCCAAAGTTCGACAAACTTTTTAATAATTGGCAATTTGTTCTTAATACTAAGCTTGCATCCTCGTTTGCTGGAAGAACCTGCTTAGTAAATGAGAAGAAGAAGTATTTCCCAATTACCAAACTATTGACATTACAAAGTTATCTAAATATATTATAAGTGTTAATACTCTACTCTATTCGCAATTCTATTATCTGCTCTATTCACTATTTGAATCTATTAGAGATAGATAAATGAAACGAAATTCTGTTTGATAACACAAATGTTCAGCTTTTTAATTGTCATCAACAATGCACAAAATTCTTAGAGACTATCACGATCGGGGCAGGGCCTAGAGTCAAGTCAACATATACGATTCCATAGCCATTTAGTGCTCCGGTGCACTGGGATGGGCAGCCAGCCAGTCGAGGGAGCGCTGGATTGCCTCTGGGATCGGGGGTGAGGTTGGCAGCGAGTCGCTCTTGGGCTGATAGCCGTTCTCATCGGCCACATAGATAACATCGATGTGCTCACCCTCGGGCGAAATCCAGCCGAATTTGCCCTGAATGTTGCCATGGACATCGCCGACCTCCGAGCGTGTGATGTGGTTGGTGGTCTCCAGGGCGGCCTCGAAGCCATCAGCGCGGACATCTTCCTTGCGGCTCACCACCTCGGCGTGCACATCGTCGCTCAATGGGCCCACTGGAGAGGCGGCGGCCAGGCCGATAACAGCGCAGATCAATACCTGGAAGAGGTGCAAGTGAATTGGCCACTGCCACGCCTCGAATGCCAAAACCCAAAAATACTTACTAGCTTGAACATTTTGATTTGAATGCAGTTATGGAACGTGGAACGAACGTTGACTGATGCTCCACTGTGGGCCGGCGTTGCCTTTTATACAGTTCGCTCGATAGGCGGCTGAATGCTGCAAGGGTGAATTCTGTCGGGTGCATCAATATATTCAAATTTGTACCAAATAACAAAACACTGTTTTAATACATATATTGTAGAATTTAATCGCTAAACTGCAATTATAGCTAGTCAGAACTGGTGATGCTGCCCCAGAAAACTCGTTTAACTGGCGATCACGCCGCCCAAAAGAAATCAAAATAACAAAATAAACAGTTGTTTTTGATCACGTCGCAATTTCACATAATTTGCTTGTACATACATGTATATATATACGTATATGTATATATATTTAGATATATAGAGGTGTGTATGCATAAAAAGTGGGCATGTCAGTACAGGTTTATTTTGCTGCTTTGTTTTATAATATTATTATATATGTACATATATTTTAACATCTTTATTTATTTCGATTTCGCCACAAAATATGCAGCTCTATATTGAATCTTCTGCGAAAGACTTCTAAGGATAGCAAATGATTAAATATAAAATTTAAGCAGATTATATCTGCATTAAAGGAGGCGAGATATTACTTGTTTCAAGCTGAAACTGGGCTGAGAGAATTCATTAGGAATTATTTAAATTATTGCAGCTTAATTTCTTAAACTCTATAGCTAATTTATTTTTACTTAATCTATAAAATTAGTTTTTTTCTTTAAATTTATTAAACATATAAAATGATTCTAAGACGTTATATAGTACATAAATATTTTTACTATTATTATTATTATTATTATTATTATTATTATTATTATTATTATTATTA